TCAAACAGCTCCAATACTACTACTAATGTTGATAAATCCAATACACGTTCATACCTGCCTTTAAAAATTACTTTCATAAAGGCCTGACTTAAGCATTAATTTTCATAAAAGTGCAACTTACCTTACCAATCAGGCTAAGGCCTTGTTGACCTCTGCTCTCCAAAGAAGTCGTCTCCACTCTACTCGATCCATGGCCACAGTTCGCCAACCTCGTAGCCTGCGAAGGGTCCACAGGTCGCCTTCTACATGGTCGATCCACCTTGCCTGCTGCGCACCTCTTCTTCTTGTTCCTGTTGGGTCGCTTTTGAGAACCATTTTCACTGGGTTGTCGTGCGGCATTCTTACGACGTGCCCAGCCCACCGTAGTCGCCCTATTTTTGCAATGTGGACGATGAAAGGTTCTCCCAGCAGCTGGTGCAATTCGTGGTTCATTCGCCTCCTCCACGTTCCGTCATCCATCTGCACTCCATCGTAGACGGTACGCAATACCTTCCGTTCGAAAACACCTCCTCCACGAGCATAGTCCAGGTCTCGTGGCCGTAGAGGACCACTGGTCTAATCAGCGTCTTGTAGACAGTCAACTTCGTGCGGCGGCGAATTTTATTCGGAGTCCAAAGTAGGCACGATTCCCTGCCATAATGCGTCTTTGAATTTCTCTGCTGGTATCATTTTCGGCGGTCACCAGTGAGCCCAAATACACGAACTCATCGACCACCTCGATTTCGTCACCGTCAATCTGAACTCGGGGTGGGAGGCTAACATTGTCTTCCCTAGAACCTCTTGCTTTCATGTATTTTGTCTTTGATGCGTTGATGGCAAGTCCAATCCGTCTAGCTTCAACCTTCAGTCTGATGTACGTTTCCGCCATCGTCTCAAAGTTCCGTGCCATAATTTCAATGTCATCGACGAAACCAAGAAGCCGGATGGACTTCCTGAAGATCATGCCACTCGTGTCTATCCCAGCTCTTCTGATCACACCTTCTAACGCGATGTTGAATAGCAGACACGAAAGTCCATCACCTTGCCGTAACCCCTTTCGAGACTCAAAGGGACTCGAGAGTGTCCCCGATACTAACGCACATCATTCGATCCATCGTCGATTTGACCAATCGCGTCAGTTTATCCGGAAATCCGTACTTGTCCAAAATCTGCCATAGCTGATCTCGATCGATTGTGTCGTATGCGGATTTGAAATCGATGAACAAATGATGTGTGGGCACGTTGTATTTGCGGCATTTTTTGCAGAACCTGCCGAATCGCGAAAATTTGGTCCATGGTAGCGTGGGCACCCATGAATCCCGCCTGGTATTTCCTCACGAACTCTCTTGCAAATGGTGACAGGCGGTGGCATATAATTTGGGAGAGTACCTTGTAGGCGGCGTTCAGCAGTGTGATCGCACGGTAGTTGCAGCAATCCAACTTGTTACCCTTTTTGTAGATTTGGCATACGACACCTTCCATCCACTCCTCCGGTAATATCTCCTCCTTCCAAATCTTTACAATTACCCAGTGCAGCGCTCTAGCCAGTGCTTCACCACCGTATTTCAATAGCTCACTTGGTAGTTGATCTACACCAGTTGCTTTGTTGTTCTTCAGCCGACCGATCTCCTCCTGAACTTCTTGAAGATCATGGGCCGGTAGCCTGTAGTCTTCTGCGCGTGCTCCAAGGTCTGTTGCCGTGCCACCTTCGTTTTCTGCTGCTTCACCGTTGAGGTCCTCGTCATAGAACTGCTTCCACCTTTCAATCACTTCACTCTCGTTCGTGAGAAGGTTATATCGGCTTGCGGCACGTAGCCTTTGCGTGAACTATTTAGCCTCTCATAGAACTTCCGTGTGTCGTTTACGCGGTATAGATTTTCCATCGCCTCGCGATCTCTTCCTGCTGACGCTTCTTCCTTCGGAAAACCGAATTTTGTCTGTTCCGCGCGTGTCTGTATCGCTCCACATTCAATCTCGTGCGGTGTTGCAGCATTCTCGCCCGTGCTGCATTCTTCTCCTCTACTAACAGTTTGCATTCACCGTCAAAACAGTCATTTCTTCGGTCCGGAATCGCAGTACCTAGTGCCGCTGCAGCAGTACTACCTATGGCGTACCGGATGTCCCTCCAGCCATCTTCAAGAGAAGCTGCACCAAGCTGCTCTTCCGTGGGTAGTGCAACTTCCAGCTGCTGCGCTTAGTCCTGGGCAACTCCGGCGTCCCGTAGTTGCTCAAAGTTGGGTCGCGGCGTTCGACTTCGACGGGTGTTATGCACCGTCGAGAGTTTTGAGCGCATGCATACTGCAACTACCCAAGTAGCACATTTCCGTCACAAAAAGTTGCAGCAACTTGTTAACGACTAAAATAAGTTGTATAGAAGTTTTAACGGGTAGGGTAGGTAGTGGTCCGAATCTATGTTCACACTGCGGTACGTGCGGACGTTGATAATGTCGGAGAAGAATTTCCCGTCGATTATAACGAGATCGATTTTTTTTTCTGTGTGTTGGTCAGGTGATCTCCAGGTGGCTTTATGGATATCCTTGCGGGGGAAAAAGGTTCTTCGAACTTCCATACCCCGAGAGGCTGTAAAGTTCACGCATCATTGGCCGTTGTCGTTCGATGCGGCATGGAGGCTGGGCCCGATTGCCGGTCCCTACATTGCCTCCCGTTCTACCTGAGCGTTCATGTCGCCGATGACGATTTTGACGTCCCGTTACGAACAGCTGCCGTACACCTGCTCCAGCTGCGTATAGAACGCTTCTTTCTCATTGTCGGGTCTCCCTTCGCGTGGGCAGTGCACGTTGATAATGCTGTAGTTGAAGAAACGGCACTTAATCCTCAACTTGTACATCCTCGCATGGATCGGCTGCCAACCAATCACACGTTGGCGAATTTTACCCAGCACTACAAAGCCGGTTCCCAGCTCGTTGGTGGTGCCACAGCTCTGGTAGAAAATAGCTGCTCGATGCCCGCTTTTCCATACCTTTTGTCCCTTTTGTTCCTGCAGTGCTACGACTTCTAAGTTGCGTGGTTGAAGTTCGTCATAGATTAACCTATCGCAGATCGGGAAGCCGAGCGATTTGCAGTTCCATGTTTCGAGTTTCCAATCGTAGTCCTTATTTCGTCGCGTAGGTCTGTGCCGATTGTTCCGATCCGTATTTCTTTCTTCAGTATTTGCAAATTTATGTTTTTTTCCAGGGCGGTTTGTTGGGCCTGCTCCACCCTCTGGCTTTGCCAATTATTCCTGAAAGCAACTATTGGAAACCCTGCACCCGAATGAGGACTCGACGAGTACAGGCTGCCCTTTGCCGTTGCTGCCAGTGTGCAATTCGTGGTACACTTCTCGACCGACAATTAGGTCAATCAGCTAATGGAACTTTAGAGAACTTCTACGAGGAGACATCAATTGGCATGGTTGGCAGGCAGACTCTGGGTTTCTTCGTGATGAGGAATTCATGCATGGTACTGTACGAAAGCAGTTTGTATCTAATTGTAGCAATAAACTTCCGGTTGATCTGATTTGACGTTTTTCCTATTCCAGTTACGGTGGTGTCTTCTTTTGTACAACGGAGGTTGAGAGTATTTGCAAGCTTCCCTCGTGATGAAGCTACGCATCTATCCTGAATATAGGAGTACACGAGTGAAGAGCTATTTCCCTTTCTGGTCCACAACTAGGACGTTAACCTATCCCAACATGACAGTGGATTGTCTAGACTGTACCTACGATCTTAATGGGGGTTCGGTTGTAGGGTTGACTGATCAGAAATGAAGTGGATTGTACCTTCAGGATTGCTGTGTCATAAAGTAGGGTATAGTGTTTTTGGTGAACATGTTGTCAATACTACTTCCATGAACAATTCCTACTTTAGTATCCAGAGCGGAAGTGATTCTAGCATAGGCACTTTTGGGAAGCAAGGTCTTGGATACCAGGATCTTGGAAAATGCTGGACATTGTAACATAAAACACTGAGTGAAGCACTTGTGTTGGGTCGTGGTGGAATTGAATACAATCTTGAATGGCGATCGGATTGGATCCAGCCACCTTGATTAGGCCAAGTTGATTGGAGCGATGCTGCAGATCGGTGACGACGGACTTCAGCACCCTTTGGTAAAAGCAGTCATCTAACTACTCGTAGGTGACAGGCTCGGAGGCTCGTAGGATTCAGTTTGAAACAAAGCGGGTTGATCAACGGAGTATCCCAGTGAACTATCGGTTCGTTCAGCTTTGCTAAAGCTTTGACCTGCATGACATGGTATTTATTTATTTCGTCAAGCCAAGTAGCTTCATACAATGGTTACAATGTTTCTTGAGTAGCAACTGGCCGAATTCAAAATAATCGAATTTGATTGTTGTTTGCTCCATGATATATTTTGTCCTGCCTAGTTTGTCTACTAGATTGTTAAGCTATTTGCAGTGTGGGCGTGATCATTTCAAGTAGACATGGGGAGGGCCCCGGTGTAGGGGTTAACATGGAAAATTATGATCTTGTGCTGGAGTATACTGCTTTAGATCGCAGGGTTTTTAACTTTAAGTATTACCTTAGGATCAGTGGATTCAAGTTGCTTTAAAACTAATGTAGTGTAGACCTAGAAGTGATTAATATGGCTTCAAAAGGACCCTATTAGTCATAAATGTCTGAATAACGCCAATATTTAAAGGCTATTCTCATGAAAGATTTACGCTCAAATTAGTGGGACCAGTTACATCGAAATCATTAGCGGTTTTATTCTGCAAATCGATTCCCCTTTTTATAAACCTATTCCCCAGGCATTCGATTTCGTGATAAAACATACAATTAAAATTCAATCGCACAAGAGTAATTGAAATCCAAATTTTTACACAACGTTGCAAATCAATAGAACCAGCCCACATCAATATTCGATTAATAATGCAAACTTAATTACGCACTCCGTGGGACATCGCCTCGCTTATCATACTTCAGCATAGAATTCGTTTGAAATCATACTCCCCTGTTGTCCTCCCGCGGCTTAACGTTACCCACGCCCTGCCCGCCCACACTTACCTGCTCTACTTGTTTGAAAACTCTAATTAAATTTTTCCCCGCCAGTTTAGCGATGTCCTCCTCGGTCCACTTTTCCGACTCCAGCAGTTCGGCAAACAGATACGGATACCGGGAGACGTCCTCCAGCCCTTGGGGCACTCTGGGCGGATGGTTTCGTTGGTTTTGCGGGTAGTAAGTTCAGGTGGGGAAAAAAATGAAACGAGAAGCGAAAATTAAGGAGATGGAATTAAAAGTTTGCTTCGGCTTGGCGTTTGGTATTCGGTCCAATTTTCGGTTCACTTACAGATTAACGCCATCGTATCCGGCACCGATGCCCACGTGGTCCACTCCGGCTACGTCCCGGATGTGATTGATGTGCGCTGGATGGACGCCGTAGTCATTCAGGAAATTCCACGATACGTTCAGGGGCGCAGGTGTTACGGCGATGAGTTACGACGAGTTCCAGAGTGATTGCGCAGCGTTGGTGAGAGCATTGGGAGAAGTTATTTAATTAAAAATTGAGTCCTTAATTAAAACAATTTGTTAATAATGTAGCATTGGGGAAAGGTGGAAGCCATTGTGTGTTTTCTGTGTGGGTGCCGGTGGGCAGCCGGTGAGTGAAATGAGAACCACCGCAAATGAGGGGATGCCAAAATGAAGCACTTGGGTGGCACGGAACGGGAGAAAGAAGTGTGCTAATTAAAAGTTTCACCTTGGTTTACGACGACCGACGGGACGGCATGGGAGGAGAAGATTTTGGCTCATTGCGGACATTGCGAAAGGCTGTTGACGGGTTTCCTTTGCCGGCGAATGTCTTTGGGGGATTTTACGGTCAAAACTGACGTCTTTCAGAAAGTTGTTTTCAAAGAAAGATCAGCAAAATGTGTTGATTAGCTGGTCGATTACAGAAGCGAAGCCGGCATGAATTTAAATGAACAAATTTAACAGGTTGGAAATGATAGAAAGCACCTCCTTAGGCTGATGGGCTCAACTAGTCCTTGGCTAAAAAAGCACTACAATATAGTTTGAAAAACACTCGTAAGAAACTTTTATGACCATTGTATTAACTGTTCTAAAATATCCTTGAGAAACCAAAGCTCTTAGTCAACGAGAATAACGTCGTTTGAATGCATTTTATAGCATGGGGCATATTTTTAAAAATCATGATCGGCATGTGTCGGAGCCGTAACAGACTCCAATGAAGGGAATGGTGGGACTTCCTAGTTCTCTTGCGACAAAACTTATCGTGTTCTGACAAGACAGGAAGGGAAAGGGTGCCGCTCAAACAGGAAGTCTTCGTAAAATGAGTGTTCTGCTCAGGCGCTTGGGATAACGAAAAACTCTTCTTGTCTTGATAAGGACGGTTGGGATTCCGCAAGCCCGTCGACAGCAAGCACTCAACCAGCGGTGGGCTGTATTTAAAAACGCTGTACTGCTCCTGCTCAGTTGAACACAATGCCGGATCAGAGGATGTTGTGAAAAAAACTAGGATAGCTTCACTTATTTATTTTTCTCTTGTTGTATACAGTTTGACAACTAAAACCATGCTAATACTAATGCCACTAGCTTCGCTGCTTTTATACTATCGTGCTGCTTCTTCTTCATCTTCTGGTTTTCGCCTTGCTCGATCGTTGGTTGAGAGAAATTTAACAAATGGGTGGGGCTTACGACGGTCACTGACTGTCGTTCGCGTTTGGGCGTGAACAGCATGCCACGGATACATCCAGACAAGCCAAAAGATTTATAATACCGAGTGCTGAGATCTTCGGGTAATAACTGGTCTAATGACTGGTCACTGCCCTAGCAGATATCACTTCAATAAAATTGGTAAAATTCAGTTTACTACCGGTGGAAGCATAACTGTCCCATGCTACAAAAATGAGAAAACTGCAGTTAAAGTTTGAACAGACGTTTTGCTGGTATCGTAAAATTTCACGGAAAAAATTGGTTCTACTTCGAAAAACTGACGTAATATAACTATTCCATAGAAAGTTTGTCAACATTTTACAAAAAAATAAAGTTTTCCATTAAAAAATCTTCTGTGACACTTATGCCGCAAATTTCTCTGACGAGTTGAAAAATGTACGCATATCTGTCCCACTGTGAACAATTTCTCAGTTGCTGCTGTTATTATGTTTGACACTTCGTAGGTGACGGTTGGAGTTTTTTCTTAAAATTATTGATTTCAGTGCCAACATTTCAAACGGGCGTGATTGCGTTTGTAAACAATGGATTTAGCCGTCGATTTCTCGCGGAAAAAAGCTCACTCATTAAAGGCTAAGGAATGTTTCATCTACCAGCTAGCATTGTTAATTTGGAAAGGTGAGCATTTATTTGCGAGATATCGACGGCTAAAGCCATTTTTATACAAAAGCTATTACGCCCCTTTGAAATGTTGACACTAATTTAAATGTTAGCCGGAAACGTTTGTCATAGAATATTTAAAGCAGTACGGTGATTCCAGTGATATTGATAGCTATTTGACTTTAACGAAATATTTGCTCCTGTTGGCGCATACGCACGATCATTTCTTAGTTGTTTTTTTTTTCAAAGTAATTAATAAGCATGCTCACCTTAACAAACTTACATTTTGGTTGGACAGTTGCTCATCCCAAAACAAGAATTGGAATTTGTTTCAACACATCATCCTTCTGATAAATAGTACGAAAATTCAAGCTGAGCAAATACTGTTCAAATTTTTATACTTTTTATAATTTTTATATAAATACTTTTATGGCCGCTCATTCATTTCACACAGCGGTTGAAAAGAAAATGCGTCTCGAACGTGTCGTTCCAAGCCAACTTTAATGTCTCACAGTACACGTTGAACTTATTCAAGCCATCGTGGAAATCATGAGAAAATTGGTCTTTTAAAAAAGAAGTTATGAGCTAGGATACGAAAGCAACATCAACAGTGAGGACCTTATATACTGCAAACTGTTTTCCAACAAACAACTCCAGCTGATCGAAAAGGAGACGTTCTCTACTGCAGCTAACGTACTCTGGCAAAGGTCTCCTTGTGGAATTGAAGTAGTTAGGAAAGCCTCTCTGTTGGCCATTGTCGTACCTGTTAAGTGAGAAGACGAAACATCGTTTTTAGTTGGTCTTCCGACCAAGCTACATGCATCGGAATGATAGTTACTTAAGGTTTACCGTTGTATGCATTTCTTTTATTTTTAAAATAAATCTCATCATTTTACTCCATAGTTTTTCAATACCAAATAATCATGTGTCACGAAAAGGTACAAATAGGGTAAGGTGTTGTAAGTTGATAAGCACATTTTTTAATTTATTTGTTATAATAATTTCTTATATGCATTGAAAATTGGAGCAGTGGGACAGATATGCGTCCATTTTTGCAATGGGACAAAACGACTTCACATTTTTTTTTAATTTTTTCTAGAATAAACAGCATGTTTGAATATAATATTTCAAAAGTAGGTATGTATTGATTTATCCCGTTAAGCATCATAATCCCAAAAAAGTCGAAATGTCACATGGGACAGTTATGCTTCCACCGGCAGTTTAGCGACTGTCGGTTTTGTCATTTTGAAAACGAAACTGCTGAACATATACTCTGCAATTGCGGACCACTGTTCAATTAAATAATGTCAAAATTTGGAAATGGGCTATTATAACCCTCAATCTCAACAGGTTATTATACTTTATAAAACGAGTTGAGCCTAAGTTGTTACTAGATATACAACCAGCACCATATTAAAAATCCCACATGATCCACCGGGCAGGTGTGGATACGCGAAATACGCGTATCTGTCAAGGATTAGCAAATATGGTAGTGGAATTAAATGGAAATTACTAATCCTTCTCTCTCTCTCTCTCTCATAATACAGGTATTCCACTGAGCTGCCCACATTCATCAGGGTCCAAATCATTGGTTTATTATTATAGTTACTTTAACACTTTTGGGTCATTCGTGAACTGTCCGGGGGTTAGATTTGAACTCGTGACTTTGGCGTGAGAGGTATGGATGTTAACCACTAAACCGGGGTCTCCCCCAAATCATAATTCAATAATCAATTGATTTATGTCTTCACGTTTATTTCCTAACATGACAATAATTTTAAGATATAATTGTGGCTTATGTATGTGGAGCTGATATAAGATTTACGTAGTGCAAGGTGTATATAAATCACTTTCTTTTTCTTGGCTTACAACTGGAGCTTTGTCATTTTAAACTAAATATACTTTATTGTGCTCTACATACTTTAAGCACAATCTTATTATATAGGGGGAATGGCTCTAATGTTGGCCTTTGGATCTAAGATTGGGCCCATCACTTAAAATCTGCTATTTATCAATTTGATCTAGATGAACGCGTCATTGGGACGGCACTGATGGCCATTTTTGGTCGCTATCAAAAAGTTAGTCGATTGCTGAAATCATGTATGGGCCCAAATTAGAGACATTTAGGCTGATTACATCCATTTCCCCTATAAACTTTTTTTTTTCAAGGTTTTTTTTTCGTCGATCTTGTTTTACATGCTGAGCACCAATGCTACCGACACCAAGGAGGCAGCTCCCACACCTACCTATCGACCCATCAACTCATGAACCGGGGACCAACGGTTCTACTTGCCTTCCGACGGAAGGCGTGATCAGAGATTTTCTGCCTCAGAAAAGACCGGCGGCAGTGACTGGTATTGAACCCAGGCCTTTTTGGGGTGAGAACAATCATGCTTGCCACTACACCACCCAAGCCGCTATCAAGGTTACTGGGCCAGGAATGCAATCTAGCGGAGCAAAATTAATAACTCCGAAACGAAGCATCTCCGTGACTTGGTGTCTTCGGCAAAGCTTCTCATCATAACAAGGACCATCTATTGACATAAACAAATAGTTCAAAACTTTTCCGCAAAGATGGCGCCACAATCTAACTTCTTTCCCTGATGTTTTGGAGACTTAATGTCTTAGGCAAAGTTGTTTATCTTGACAAAATAAACAACTCTTTTGAAGATGTTACATTTCCACAGCCTACCGATTCCGAGTTATATGGAGTTAAAGAAATGCAAAAATATGGTGTTTTCCTTTTGTTTCGGTTGTTTTGCTTACAATCATATAATGTTATATTATTCTCTTATGTAAATGCATTAAATAAATAACTTCTGTGAAGAAACCCAAATAATCAACCAGTATGTAAACATCAAACTTTAAAGATTTTCTTAAAAAAAACACGAAAACACAGCAACTTTTGAACTTAAATAACTCTCGAAACGCAAAAAATCGCTACCTCGATAAACAAAATATCAAAACTTGAGAGAGATATATTTTGGTGTTTTTGAGACTTCTTGATTTTAGTTGAAAACGTATTTTTTCTTTAACTTTTTTAATGCATTGAAATGGCGTTTTGAAGACTTGCCGT